TTTGCTTTATATAGGGGAGAGGATGAAATTGGGTGTACAGTGAATGTGGTCAGGATTTGGTTTCCAAATGGGATTTGTGGAAAATTAAATGTGGGGGGTTTTTTTTTTTGTAAAACGTAAAATTAAACACGAAAGTGGATGGACGGATGAGTTTGAGTTTGTTTAGAGATGCCAAATTGAAGTTGGTTTGGAATGATGTTTATATTTGGTGAGGACCTCCCATGATGTTTCAGTTTTATTGAATTGTAACATATTTTTTTTTGTTTCAACCAATGGTTTTGAACGAGAAACGAACAAGGTGAAATTACTGTATTAGATTTATACATGAAATGAGGACGTGGATCAAGAGTCAAACTGATCGAACTGATTCATCCAAACAAATCCAAAGAGACTCATTCGATGAGGAGAAGCATTGGAGCAAGGTCATCACAGCGGTTAGATTTCAAGTGCCCTAGAATCTTCTATTAATGTTCATTGTTATGGATAGTTACAAGAAAGAAATGCAAAAGAAGAAAGAAATTTGAAGTTTTTTGGTCAAATAAGTATTGTTTTAAATATAATTTAAGTTGATGATTTGAATATTTTTTATATAGTTGCAAGGTTAAATATCTTTTGAAAAAATATTAATTTCATTTTTGTTTCAGGACTTCTGATTTTATTTTAATATCAATTATTTTTTAGGTTCAATAGATTTTAATATTTTGGTCGATAATATATAGTTTCACAAGTTTTGAGATATACTTTTAAAAATATTTAGTTTAATATATGAATTTAAAATGAACAATTATTAAGTTTATTTATTTATCTACTAAACAATTAAAAAAATAGTGACAAATAAAACTATTTCATTTTAAATTTTGGAAGGTTAAAAACAATATTAAATCTTCAAGAACAAAAGAATATTGAAAAAATAAAGAAAAACTTTGGTTGGATGACTTTTCTTCCTCTTTTCCGATGAGATCAAAGAGACTAATTAAATAATCTTTATTTATATTTTTAGATGAAATTAATTATCTTATCTATTTTGAAGCTTATAATTAATTTGGTGAGAATCTTATAATAGATTAGCATGCCATGATACCATGGCCATGTCATGGTTTCCATCATAGCTACACATCAGCCGATGAGTCACACGTGGATCTTTATCCTGCCACACAGATTATTCTCGTATCTTTTACCATGCTCCACGGGCCCAATGTCAAATCAATAATTAATTAAAACGTTACTAAATTCACATTCTTCTGGTCCAATATGGTTTGAATAATGTTACGGGTAAAATTGGCGTAGGTCAATATAAAGTGAGGCTAAGAAAGTTAGATGGGTCGAGATCATACCAGACATGACTAGGTTGAGGTGACCAAATTTGATCGAGTTGGTCCATCCGAATCAATTGGAAGAGACTAACTTCCTCTATAAATAAAAGAAGAGATATGGAGCGTGGGGTAAGTTCTACATACAACTCCTACTTTTGCTACGTTTAGTGGAACTTTTTATATGACTTGTGCATCGAAGCGTATTAGGCTTAGCACTAAACCGCTTCGCAAATTTATTGTGTTTGCAAGAATTCGTCGGAGCTTTCGGCGTTGCATCTCTAATCTAAATTATGCATCAACAATTTAAATATATATTATTTTGGTCGATGTATTTTTGGCTTTGGTTCATTTTGATTTTTGTTTTTTTGAAAACGTTCATTTTGGTCTTTTACTGTTGAAAAGTGACCATTTTGATCATTTCATTTTCATTTTTATCTCACTTGTTTGTATCACAATTTTAGCAATGTCACCTCATTCTAAAAATTTTTGAAAATGTAGCCATAAAATTATATTCAAGGGTTTTTATTATGTATAAAATTTATGTCAAAATTTTACAAATTGAATCAAAAATTGTCATTTTCTAAAAGTATAAGGACAAAAATATAGGCATGAAAATGAACAAAATTGAAAATACATTGACCAAAATTGACGTTTTGATAAATTATATAGAGCAAAACGAACCAAAACCAAGAGTACAGAGATCAAAATATGATTTAAACCTAATATTATTTCTAATCAACCTGAGCATAACTCATTTAATAAAATATTTATTGTCATTCTAAATGTCGATAGTTTAATCTCTCTCTTTTTGAAATTAAAAAAAAAAAGTGCTACTTACAACTTTATGGTTAAATTACACAAATCTTTTCTTCCTTTTTTTTTAATGAAATAATGAAATAATTACACAGATCTAAATCTTAAACTTTAGTTCAAAAAATATCTAATAGATATTTTAACATTATAAAAATTGCATATAGTAAATCCATAAACTAATGTCTAGTAGTCAATGTTAGATATAAAATTAAAAGTTGGAAATTTTATTAGATACAACATTATAAAAATTGGATACTTGTTATTGAAAATTTTTAAAATTTAGAGATGGAAATTTATAATTTAACATAACTTGGAAGTGAGAATTATAATAGAAATCTTCAAAATTTAAAAGTAAAATTAAAAATTTGGAAACACTAAGGTGAAATTACCTTTTTGTATAATGTAGCTTAAGTTTTTACAGACATTCTATTTGGTATGCTAGGCCCGAAAAGGACATAAATTTTGGTTTTGTGACATTACACGTGGAATGAATAATGACCGTCCGATGGATATGGACAAACTGAGATGAGAAATCAATTAGGACACTGAAATAAGGAGTGTGGGCCCGGCATCGTACGTGCACAAATGGCATGACATTATTTTATTCCCTTTTGTGCTTTTGTTTTATCGTTTGTGAAAAAAACAAACACAAAAGTCTATTGTTTTCCAATGAATCTTCGAGAGACAACCCATTTGGCTACAATATTTCTAAATTTTTCGATCACGAGATAGGGTTTGGATTTAGATTTCGATGTCGAATGTACCCGAACACTTGTACATATAAGCACGTGGTGTGGTGTGGTGATAATTCCAATACGTTTTAATACCTAATACACAAATGATTCAACTGATTATAATAACAAAAAATAGAATGGTGCAGAAGATATCTTGCACCTTTGACATATCTTCTTATTTAAATAAGAAAGAGCATCCTCGAGTTAGTTTGAGTGTAGACTGACTCGATAAGGTCCAGTTGGATTAGCTTGACACTGAGGCAGCTCGACTCACGTTGCTTCTTAGCATCACTCCATGTGAACATGTTGTTCAGTATAATTTCACCCGTAACATCTCATCTCCAGTGAAGCCATTAATCATCTATCTGAGTCAAGTGATAAATGAAAAGTTTAATCACTAAATAGACTCGCTTTTACATGTGAAATAGAGCGGAAAGTGAACAAATAAAATTAGATTAGGGAAGACGAAGATATGTTCCTAATGAAATACGGACTTTCTTAGAGTAGGAATGCACAAGCTGGATGAATTCATTCCTTTTTCTAACATATGAATTGTCATGTTGTTGCTTCCTAAAACAGTGCAGGTAAAATCATTTTGATCATCTTCGTTATGTACAGTAAAGCCTTTGAACATAGGTTTGATTAAAGGTCGAGCCATAAATTGTCCAAACGAAGAGTCAAATTTTGCATCATAACATTTTTCATATTACATTATTATTTAATGTYGGTGGACCTCACATTATTTTTAATGTGATACTAACCAACAAACAGTGAATAGAAATAGTATCCATATGTCTATCATATCAATAATTTTTTTTTTATCGAAAATACCAATCCCAGATTTTTTTCTTCTTGTTTTGTTTTTGTTATAGTTGTTTATTTCATATTAAAAAAAAAAAGAATTCTCCCAACTTTTAAATTGCTTATATATTTACTTGGACTCAACTACCTTTCAAACAAAATGATGAGTATAGTTCATTTTATTTACTTTATTGGCGAGGTTTCATATCATCATCTTATATTTATGTCACGAAATTCAAAAAAATAATAAGAATAAATAAATAAAAGTAGAGAGCGATCTTATCCTAAACAAAAGGTGGTTTCTCTCTCATGTTTTCCACGACACCCACTTACATTTTTATGACACCAAAATGTCCAATTTCCCCTTCTTATCTATAAAGATTTTTATTATATTTTTTTCTAATTTTTTTAATTCTCAACCTAATAAAATATTGATCTAAATTCTAATTTTTAAGAAAATTCTATTTTAGTCTTCAAACTCTCGTAATGTCTATTTCATTTTTAATTTATAAATTAAAAAAGTAACTATTTTAATGCGTACTTTTATTTTGATTTTAACAAATTAATAGTATGTCCTCGAGTTCGTGGACTAACGTGTTAATATGATTATTTACTCAAACCATAACTGAAATCAAGTATTGGGTAAGTAAGAGTTGTTTGGTGTGCAATCTGAGACTCTATTTATTATTTTCAGATTCACTAAAATCTGTGATAAATTTATTTTTGAAAGCTGTTTTCGATTTATGTGATCTAAATAATATAAATTCTAGAAAACCAACATTTTCATGTTTTCGGTGTTTTCAAATTTTGAATTTGAAACTTTAAAATACAGAATTACAAATTTTGAAAGCTTTTATGTTATAAACTCATTTAATTTTTGTTAAAATTAAAATATGTCAAATATAATATATTATAAGTTATATAAATAATGATCCTCCAAAATTTATAACATAAAAGTTTAATGTATTAATAAATATTATTGTAGATTGAGTTAAATATTTAGTTGGTAAATCATGTTAGTTTATAAATATATTAACCAAACACATATTCGAAAATATTGATAAACACAAAATATACATTGAATCATCTGTTTTAACATTTCTACCAATTTTTCAAGTAAAAAATAATTATCTAAAAAGAAATAATTATTTTTAGAAAGTTAATGGACTAAAATAGAACTAAAACGGAAGAAAACTGGTCAAGGCGGCTCCTGTTTTTGAGGGAATCGTGTTCATCAGATTAACAAAGACAACTCTGCAAATAATTTTCTTCCACTTATCCAAATTTTGAACCACCATCTCCACTTGCCTTATTATCTTGGATTGGATATTCCAAGATTCTCACAACATTATCCCCAACTTTCTTTGTCTCCATGATTTTTTTTTCTTTTTTCTATTTTTCTCTCTTTTTTTCTTTTGGAAAGTAACTAACTATTCATATCATTATTGTTAATTATTACAACTTTTTGTTCCAAAATGAAGTACTTAATCATTACATGATAAGATAATTTAATATACAAATCATATTATATAAAACATGGAGTATTTAAGAGTGAACATCTTTTCTTTTTCATTTTTCTGTTTTTTTTTGGGGGTTAAAATTAGGGAGAGTCTAGAGATATTATAAAGAAGTACATAAGATTGGCATCCCTAATATACTAAATATTGTTGAATATTCCTATCCTCATATTAAAATGGAAAAAATATTATTCCCCACCTTGAATTAAAAATGGAAAAAGATTCCAAAGCTATTCCCATTTACTTTGGAAGTGAAAGTGGGGAAGAAAAAACATCTCAAAAATACTGACTTTAGCTACCTTTAACGGTTAGTGGTCGTGGGATTGCTTCTTATGACCTGATTTGGCTGTAACTAAACTGTCTCTTAAACTTCTTTATTTGCGGTCTTTGAAACATATTTAGCAGGCTATCTTCCTTTGATACTCTGGCCAGCAATCTTTTTTGGATCACCGACTGACTCATGTTAATTTGAGACTTAGTAATTCATATGGTGTCTTGTATTATACATATTGTTAAATTTTATTGAGCATACTTCATTTTTGTAAAACTTAGCAGAGTTCGAATAAGTCTTACACACAATTATATATTTTCCAGAGATTGAGCTAGCACACCATTAAAGAAGTTGAAGTGGAAGGAATTGGAGCTTAATACTCGAGGGGCAGCATGTTGAGACGTTGTATGCCGTCAACCATCAGTCATGCCACTGCACACTACTCTAGAGCATCTTAACACTACTATAGAGCATCTTAACGCCACTGTACACTACTCTAGAGCATCTTAACACTACTATAGAGCATCTTAACGCTACGAGATTCACCGCGCAAACATTCGTTAACGTCGCTATTTGTAGCGTCTCAACACTACGAAGTGGTCTCTCTGCCTATTTAGGGTACAACATTGATATACTGTTTCTAACGTCTCAACGTTCCGTGATTTTTATAAATTCAAAATCTGGGCACCACCATGGGGAAATTATTTTGGAGAGTTAGAATTTTATCACCTGTTTGAGAGAGAAATACCAGAACTGGATTTTGAAGGGCAAGGAAGGTTGATTTCTTCTTAATCTATTTGTGTATTTATGTGCTTAACGTCTATAATTGATTATTTGTCTATAAATCTAAATCTTACATTCAGGATTTTAGAGATTTAGAAATACTTTAAAAGTTCTTAAAAGAAATAGACTTAAAACCTTTACTTGTTAACAAAATTAAATATGGATACGATTTTGGTTTCTTGATAGGTAACTGTGCTCGGGAGAGATAGTTATGATATGTGATTTCTCGACTTAATTAATTACTTGTAAATGATGTTGGTGAAGTCAATTCCTTAGAACCCTATTTACCATAGGTTTTTCCTCGATTTTATCATTTACATTGTTTTTCTTAATTGATTTTCAAACCCATTGTTGTTTCTCTAAATTAACATTGGTATTTATGGTACATATCGTATTTACTCACCATTTTTATTGAAGTTTAACTTGTACACCAGTGATGAACAATTTCTAGAATCCTATTGGTCAGCACCAGCCGACTCAAAAACCAACTTCCAGTAATTTGTTCGGTAGGAGGCTTTGATGATCACCGCTCAAAATTTGCCTGCTCTTTGAATTTTTTTGAAAAAAGAAAAAATTATCTCTATCTCTGTTCTTGCATTTTTCTCCAACTTGTCAAAAAATTTAGAATGAAGAATCACTCATGGGGACCATCCCAAGTAACCTTGACACCGCTTAGTAGGCATGGAGTGTGTGACATTATAAACGTGTATGAATAAGGTGTTATAATAAATCTTAAGATGGGGTTTGCTGTATGGAATAATTGATTTGAAAAAATAAAAAATGCTTATCCAAATCCAAGTCTATCTAAGAGTAGACAGCTTCTCCTTTGGTGGTGGTCAGTGGACCTTGTTTATTCACATTCAAATTTTGCGAGTTCAAGCTTTCCATCTTCATCCATTACAGATGCTTCAGAAGCAAATATTCAAAGTAAAATCAACAACATAATTGAATTGAATTCACTCCAGTCCAAATTGATTGAAACTCGATGAAGATCCCCCAATTTACTATGAAATTGCAGTGAAGAGGCGGATGATACAATGAAGGTTGATTGAATGGTGTGAAATTGCAGGGGAAAGAAGAGGAAGATGACGATGGGAAGAACCTGATGAAGCATGAAAAATGACTGGCCGGAGAAGAGAAACCTATTTAATTTTCTTTTGACTTTCGTCATTTTCGATATTCATCCATTACAGATGCTTTAAAATTAACTCTTCAAATGAAATTAAACACAGAATTTAGTTTACCAAGGCCGATTTAGAAATCGCAGGGGAATGAAGAGGAAGATGACGATGGGGACGACCTAAGGAAGCCTTATAAATTGACGGACCGGAGAAGAGAAGCCTATTTAATTTTCTTTTGACTTTCGGGATTTTTCGATTCTATCCATTAGAGATGCTTTGAAATTAACTATTCAAATGAAATTAAACACATAATTGAATTGAATTCATTCCAATCAAAATTAATCGAAACTGGTTCATCGTACTCACCGGCGCTATGAAGATCCCGAAATTCTGACCATTCGTACCGGAAATTGGAAGCTTGGCGCCTTGAATCATGCAATTTTACTATGCAATTGCAGTGAAGAGGCGGATTCTACAATGGAGGCTGATTGAATGAAGAAGAAGACGACGATGGAGAGAACTTGAGGAAGCCCTTTCTGCGAGAAATGGCTGACGCGAGAAGAAGAAGCCCATTTGATCCTTTTTCCATTGCACAATTCCAGAAGAAGCCCATTTAATGGCCCATTCGTCATTTGCTCTTCTGTTTTTTAGAAAATTAAAAAAAAATCATTAAATCACACCTATTTTCGATGGGTAGCAAAAATATTTGTCATATTTGTAAATATAGCGACTACTTCTTTGTTTTACAAATATGGTAATTTTTTTTTATATTAGTGTCGCCAACTTGCGCATCTCGATTGATCACTAATAATCACCTTACCCTACTATATTTCGTTGCAAAGAAACTCGTAGGATATTAAATCATAGGTAGGTAACCACCATGGTTTGAACTTCAAATATGACAAACTTTTTCAAATCAAATTTTTATCTTTTTTGTTAGTTTGATTTTGCACTTATTACTTCTATAAATCGATGTACTTAGTATATCATTGATGTACTTGATATCAGTTACACAATTCATATGTCAAATACCATGTGTATTATTGGTATACTTAATACGAAATATGTCAGACACACCAACTATATGAATTATCAACATCGTATTATGTATATCGTTGATAAATTTAAATAACATTAAAGATTTCTTTATCTAAAAAAAATTTAAGTTTGTTATTCATATATCAAATAATATACTCCATTTTGATATATCTAAATGAAGTATATCATCGATATTTGATATTAAATATTTCAATTGTATAATTGATATACCAAATATAAAGTATATTATGATATATCTAAGATGAAGTGTATCACCAATATAATTGATATTAGACATTTCAATTATGTATATCATTGATATACTCGATATTATGTATATCCCCTACCCCACATGTTATACTCAAAATAAAAAAGTATATCATTGATATACTCGATATTATGTATATCGTGAATGTTTTTTTTTTCATTTTTAGAAAACACCAATTTTAAGGGTATAACCGACCTTTCCATTTTTTCCTTTGTGTTAGACCTTCATTTTTTTTTGCTACATTTTTCAGTTAGAAAAATGGTCRTTATATTTACAGTTAACTATTAATGCCTATATAATATAAATAAAAGAAGTTAGTAGTTAAAGTGTAAATATAAAATATCCCAACATTTTATCATTAAAGTCATCAAACAATCYGATAGATAGACAGTCTGATTCAATAATAACTCTATCAAAATTAAATCACGAACTATCTAACCATGAGGATGGGACTAGGCTAAAGTAACCCGAGATTACGATTACGACCCCAAGCTCGACCTAGCCATAACCATGAGGATGGGACTAGGCTAAAGTAATTTATGCTTCATGAGATACAATACATGTTATTTAGTTTCGACAAGGATATCTCTCCAATAATAAATTCAACAGATAAACCAAAAGTTATAAAAGGGGAGGGCCCATTTATCTTTTCCAATAAAGCTTGTAATTTACCATTTGGTTAAATTGCCAATCAAATCCCTTTAGACATCAAGTTTGTCTTTATGATTTCAAATACTTTAATTGAGTGTATATAAATTTAAATTTTCTCCCAATAGTTTGGTTTAATATTACAGATTTTTTATAATTTATATACCCAGTTTTTTTTCCTCGTTCAACTCTAACCATGATATAGTAAAATAAGTRGGTCAAAACCACCTAATTAGATGGTCACCGGTAAATATATAAAAATTAATTTGTGATATTTGACCCATAAAATTCAAATTGAGACTTTTAGAAACTACATCATTGAAATGATAGCGTGACTAAACCAAAACTTTTAAAGTTATAAAGATGAAGTGAAATTTAATTATCAACCAAAACTTAGTTTGTTGAGCATTTATATTTATTGAGCCTCTACACCAACACGAATATAACTCCGCAGTTAAGATACTTATATATTCTCTCACCCGCCATTATATTTGTTGTACGAAAAAGGAATTTCAAATCTTCATTCCATACCTACAATGTTTTTAAAAAATATATTAAATATACCAAATAATCTCTGATGCGTTGGATAATTATCATCTTAATCATTAATATTTCAAAATTCCCAATTTTACTTTCAACCTGTTAAGAAATTATCAATCAGGTTATTAGGTACAAAACATGTCTATTTTTTTAAAGTAAGTCCATGCTTACTAACAAAAAATTGATGTATCAATTAGAAGAAATAAATTTTATTAATCGATTGTCTAATGAACAAATTGAATTTTAAACTATATGTCATGTGACAACTAGAAGTAGCATATTTACACGTCCAAATACGTTATATAAAAATAACATGTTAACTTTTTTTTGTTAACCGAGTTTCTATGAAAGTATTTTTTTGTTAACCATTTTTCATGAAAGTACTCCATCTATAACTTTTTTATCGAGGTACGAGAGTTTGATCCTTCCACCTCAATAAAAGAAATAGATACAAATTATCGCTGCAAGTATGGTCAGGTTGGTATTCGAGATGTACAACACGTGAAGATGAGGAATCGAACTTACAATTTATTGGTTGGAAATATATATCAATTACCTTTGTGCTATATTGCTCTAGCGTCGGTATTCGAGATGTAATTCATGATTAATCTTATTATTATTATTATTATGATTATTATTTCTTTGGGTAAAGTTTTGGATGTAGTGTTTGAGCTTAGTTGTGTCACTCAAACATGGCGGAGTAATTACACGAGGGAGGGGGTTAGAATTCGGGAGCTTGTAAAATTCATCACTCTCTCTTCAACATTCAGTTTCGTTCTTGACGGATCTGCTTCTGCTCATTTTCCGGAAGCTTGCTTCTACCCGATTCTCTTCCCGCTTGACACTTCACCATGTCGCCTACTCCCGAGGAGCCTAATTTGCAGAACGGAAACCAAACCCAACCGCACATTCCGTCAGAATCACAGCAAACTGAAGAATCCGGATCGGACCCAGAATCCAGAGTTGCCACAATTCCCCAACAGCAACGCGAATCAGAATCGGTTGATGAAGAAGCAGATGCGGAGCCTCGATCGGAGCCGGAGTCTCGGAGGGAACAGTCGTCGGAGTCCATCCAGTTGCAGGTGGTGACGGATGCCACAGATCCCAGGTCCGGTGATCCCGAGGAAGCCTCGATCCCGTCCAACGGCGCCGACAACTCGCATCCCGCCCTGCGGAAGGACGAAGGAAGCCGGACGTTCACCATGAGGGAGCTGCTGAATGGATTGAAAGGTGATGATGGTAACGACAGCGTTAATGAATCGGAAGGCGAGAGGCCCGAGGCTAACTCCGGTCACAGGTTCGTTTCTTCGTTCTCTTTTGTTGTTCTTCATGTTAATTTTACTTTAGGATACTGTATATAGTTGATTGGTGACTGAATTGTTTCTAATAATGCAGTATACTCTTCAATTATTTGGAAATGAATGATGAATTATGAATGTTTAACCTGGTTTTTTTTATCTTCTCCTTCCACCGGTGACCGGAGAAAAAGCGATCACTTCTGTTAGAGGGAGAGTGGTTTTACGATCGTTCTGTTCTTTCAAGCCTGAGGGTTAGACATATTCCTCCCTATTTTTGATAAACAAGTTATTGGGTAGTTTTCCTTCAAAGAAGAATATTTTAGTCATAAAAATCAAAGGATTCGTATGTGAGCAAGTCAATTTCCAAAAGTCAAAGTTGATCTAAAGCTATCCCACGAGCTTTCTTGGCGCCAGCAAGGTTTCTTCTCTTTAACGATAATTTTCATCTCCTCTGATAGACCCCCAGCAAATTGTTGGAAGCCGACACTTTAAAAATATCTAAGGTGTTTTTCTTCCTTTCAGGAGTCCACTCTTTATTTGTCTTCCTATCAGGGTAAGAAACACTGATTGCTTTGAACGATCGAGTGTTGTGGTTTTTGTTCGGCCTCAAAACTGTCCCAACATGACCCACTAACACTCTTAAGCATTGTGAACACTATATTCTCATCCAAATCTTTTTACTAATGCATTTTCCTGGATTGCTATCTTTTGCTCTCTTATCCCCTGTCCTTTTCTCACAGTAGTATCTTCTCTTTTTCTATCTCTTTGTTCCATCCTCTACCTGTAGTTTCAATTTTAGGATTTTTGGAATTAATCAATTCGTTTTTGGATATCCCTGTCCATTTCTTTTCGCATACTAATCAATTAGTTTGATTTTCTCCCATTTGATTTCGGTGTCAATTAAGAAAATGCTCATTATGATCAGTGGAGCCTTTTTCTTGCTATACATGACAATAGAGTTTTGCTGTTATCACTGTCCGTCTCAAGAGCTGTATTCTTTTTTTTACTGTATGAATTTGCACAGTTTTCTTATCAAAAAAAGAATTTGCACAGTTTTACTCAAGATAGCCCACATCAGCCTTATTCTGAACAGAGCAGAGCTGCTATGGAGTTGATCAATAGTGTTACAGGTGTTGATGAGGAGGGTCGTTCTCGCCAACGCATTCTCACATTTGCTGCTAGGAGGTATCATCACAATACTTTTTGTAGTTGTCTACCAACTAGACCTCTGCATTTCTCTTGGAGGTTATGGTAATTCAAACTTTGAATTCCAATTGAAATAGTTGCCCAGTTGTTTTTTCCCATTTCTTCCAATTGGAGCTTGTGTTTAAGCTCTTGTTGTGTGATTGGGATGCATTGTAAGAATTGGACTGGGATTTTCACGCAACAAAATAAAAATGAAGAAAAGGGAAACTCGTGCGACGTGCATACACAAGTGTTGGTTAAGAAGACAATATACAATACTATGTGTATGCTTGTTTATATTTATATTGATTACCATGGGTATTTAGATTAGGTTTCATTTCATGCAAAGCGATATGGGATTAGCTGATTTCATAATACTTAGATTTGATACTTATACTGTATTGATTCGTTTCCATAACCATAAAAAAATCATTCTTAATTAAAATTATGTGTAGAATATTTACATTCCAGTTAGGTGGCCCCATTGTTTTCAAAGGGGCATGCCTAAGTGCAAAGCACAGATGGCATAGGTGAGATTCAAGACAGTCACCTCAAGATATCTTGGGCATGTCGCTTGGAGATGACTATAGGAGGGTAGAGCTCATGAAGGCTCACATTGTTTCCCATTGAATTATGATTAGGCTTCAAAGGATTATTACCCCTTAGTGAACTTTGGGCTTTAGACGAACCATGGGTAGCACCAAGAATTGAATTATGATGTCCAAGACATATGAGTTACGTTTGCCACCATGGTACCGTTGAAAATGCCCAACAAGTACATATCAACTTTTATTTTAGTTTTTTGAAATGAAGGCAGGTATCTACAAACCTTTGAAAATATGATAAAATGAACGTTAAAGAAAGGTCAAGAATTAATTTTTGCCTTTTGATCATCTTTATTGAAAATATATATTTTATAGTAATCCATTTCTTTATAAAAATAATTTGCCACTCCTATAGATGTCACTTGTTTCCAATCATCTAATTTCCGTTTAAATATTGCAGGTATGCTAGTGCAATTGAGAGAAATGCTCAAGACTATGATGCTCTATACAATTGGGCATTAGTCCTCCAGGTTTGAGACTTCATATTATTTCTTTTGGGAAGGTGGTTCTTTTCCTTTTCCTTTTTATCTCTTGATCAGTAATTTTGTAGAGTGCAGGGAGATATCATTGAGTCATTGACAGGTCATTAATATAGCTCCAGCTCAATTGAATTAAGTGTTTGGCATGTGTTTGATATAAAAGAAAATATAAAAAAAAAAATATAACTAGTTAGCTGACACCTTCCAGTACAGTACCAATATTTTCTGCAGAAAGACTACAGGGATGTAAAATGCAATGAAACATTTAGTTTTTTCACATAGTACAAGTAAAACTTTGTTAGAATACACTATAAAATGTACAGATCTTTATTGGAAGGCTTTCTTGTAATTAGCCACCATGGCTTTTGGTTATTTCATTCTATCAATGAAATACTTGTTTCTTACTGAAAAAAAATCTACAGATCTCTTTTCATTCTTTTGTAAGCAATATCACAATAAACTCTTTATTAATCTGGTGTTGCAGGAGAGTGCAGATAATGTTGGTGCAGATTCCTCTTCACCTTCTAAAGATGCGTTGCTTGAGGAGGCTTGTAAAAAGTATGATGAGGCTACCCGTCTTTGCCCAACACTTCATGATGTATGTAAAAAAAACTTTTTTAAACTTTTACTACTCAGGATGACGTTGCAAGAAATGTGAGCAGAAGATGGGGGAAAATGTTTTGTTAATGACAAGATGGGGAAAAATTGAAAGGAAAAGATGGACAGATTTTGAAGAGTTTCTAATATTGATTCTGCCAGAAAAGAAGTTATTTAGAATATAGAGTTATTTTTTCGTTCTTTTTTCAAGATGGATCAAAATGGATTTTCCTCCGGCCAATTTTTCACACCAGTAATTATTTATTCCTGCTAAGGTTTGATAACCTATTACGAAAAATGAGCCTTCTTCTGAACTTGGAACTAGCAGATAAAGAAAATTATTGTATGCATTTTTACATGACCTGCAAAATTTATTGTTGGTGCTATTTCAATGATATTATGTATTCGGATTGCATCCCAGGCTTTTTATAATTGGGCTATTGCAATCTCTGATCGGGCCAAAATTCGTGGTCGTACAAAGGAGGCTGAAGAACTATGGAAGCAGGTTTATGCTTCCATCCCTTGTGTATCTATCATTTGGGAATGTCTATGACTGGAAAGGGATGGGCTCTTGCCATTCTATTTTTTTCTGGGATATATTAACGTTTCCTTTGGAAGGGAAAAATATTTTATAATTTAGCTATCAACTGTGTTATTGTGATGGCTGTGATCCAATGGACACTCCATGTCCTCTCCAATTTGGTGTTATTTTCCTCTCTTTTTGGTGAAATGTATCTTTTATCAAATTTCCTTTTGTTCCTTAATATTATATCATCAATTTCATTACTCAGTGTAAAAATTAGTAGCCTCCATTTTAGGCTGAAAATTCAAATTTCCACCCCTATATTAGTAATTTTATATTTTCAGAAAAAAAAAGAGAATACCTGCTTTCTCTCAAAAGTATCATTTGGGTTATTAACTGTATAAAAGGTCTAATTATATTTAATCATCAACTCTTGTGGGATGCTGGTAAAACATATAAAATATAAGCAATTCTTTTATATTAGATAAACCAAGTTGACAATAAGATCAATTTATTGAGGGACTGAATGGAACTTTTTAAAATTCATCCACAAAAATAATTGATATATAATTTGGTCAGTAATTACTGTTTCCTTTTTTTCTGAATTAATCATTTCAATTATTCCATTTTTCAGGCTACCAAAAACTATGAAAAAGCTGTTCAACTCAATTGGAACAGTCCCCAGGTACATGTCAAGAAATTGCTAGAAAACCCATATGTGCTTAAATTTGCCCCTCTGGGATGTTCTTCTTCCCATGGAATGTGTTCTCCGTTGTGAAATGGATTCTATTAAACCTCCATAACTTGAAATAAATCATATAAATTTATTTTGCTAATACCTTAAGGCTAACTCTTTTTGGATCTATATCAGGCGCTAAATAATTGGGGACTCGCTCTACAGGTACTTATGTTATGTTATGTTATGTTATGTTTTTCACATTAGTTTACTCTTTGAATTTAAAGGCTCTCGCCGGCCCACCTTCACGTATGCAACCACAGTATGTGTAAGAAACTTGTTTTTATTGAATATCATGATTAATTTTAGGAACTCAGTGCGATTGTGCCAGCACGAGAAAAGCAGACAATTGTAAGAACAGCTATCAGTAAGGTAACACTACTATTTGGCAGCATCTAAGTACAAAATAATTGCTGCCTTTCACATAAAACTTACTGTTACGTTCCATTCTTGATAACTGAGTTGTCTTCCATTACAGTTTCGTGCAGCAATACAGTTGCAATTTGATTTTCATCGAGCAATCTACAATCTTGGTACTGTTCTGGTGAGTCTGTTGCCTGTCCTTCTGTATATGGAAATTACATGATCTTACATCTGTCTAAAGCGCTGTGTTTAGAATGACTTCATCAACATGTGTTGTAGAGATGTATTTAAGAACTTCTCAAATTCTGTCTATATAAGTGATAGTGACAATGGAATAGGGGATTTAACTCTTGATTGTTTCACAGATCAGATTATATAAATTTGCTCAAATCTTAAACTGATTTCTGGCATCTACAGTATGGACTAGCTGAGGACACATTAAGGACCGGAGGAACAGGAAATGCTAAGGATGTTTCCCCTAATGACTTGTACAGCCAATCTGCTATTTATATCGCAGCTGCTCATGCTCTAAAACCAAATTACTCTGTAAGCCTGGTCCTTTTGTCTCGAATAATTTCTGTGTTGTTGAGCCTGATGTAATAACGGAATATTATGTTCCGTTCTGCTTCTTTTACATCTTTACCAACGACTGGACAAGTATTTGTGCACAAGTATGATAGTGTTTTAAGCATTGATGTTCGTGGAAAGAAAACAAAGACATTTCAAATACTATACAAAAGGCTTTAACTCTTAAATTTTCTCCCATTTCTCTTGTTTTCTGATTAGTCAATTTCTTTTCTTCATTTAAAAGTTTGAATTGAAATTTTGATGTTTTTTTTATTAGGTTTACAGCAGTGCCCTGCGGTTGGTTCGTTCAATGGTTAGTTCTGACTTATCAAATAATGTACATCACAATTGATCATGAACTTGAGCCATATTTCAGATCATCAATGAAATCGTTTCTTATGAATAAAAATGTTATTTTACGTTCCTTCGAGCATTTTATCTGTAATTTTAAAGTTTTCACGAAATCTGTGACTTGTAAATCAGAAGTTATCATGTATTCTGAAGTACGTGTGCTTTTCAGATTACTACTTACTGGTTACATCCCTTGATCAGGAAATATTTTTGGTTGCAATGAACTTAATGAAACTTGACTTTTTGACAGCTGCCGTTGCCGTATCTAAAAGTTGGATACCTGACTGCACCTCCTGTGGGGAGACCACTTGCTCCTCACAGTGATTGGAAACGTTCACAATTTTTTCTAAATCATGATGTATTGCAAAAGGTACCCATTTTTTAAAATCAAGTTAACCACTGCATTTATGTGATTTGGTTGAGACTGATTTTAACCTACTTGTATCCTCTACACCCAATCCTCTTTCAGCTTAACATAGGGGGGGAGCAAATACAAACATCACCTAGCTTGAATGGCGAGAGGACAATCAAAGTAGAAATTCCAGATATTGTCTCAGTATCAGCATGCGCAGATCTAACTCTACCACCCGGTGCTGGACTCTGCATTGACACAATCCATGGACCAGTTTTCTTGGTGAGCATATTCTAGCGGCATTACATCGTACATGTATAGAATTTTGCTCCTAAAGAGTGATTAAAAAAACAAAAAAGCTAAGGCCTCGTTTGATAACAATTTCATTTTTTCTTTTTTCTTTTAAAAAAAGCTTAGGAACATTACCTATATTCATTTTTTTTGTTATATAGTTTCTATGAACATTTTCAAAATTTAGGCCAAATTTTGAGGGGAAAAAAAGTAGTTTTTGTTTTTGAAATTCAGTTAAAAGAACTCAAATATATTTTCAAGAGAGGTGAAAAATTTACTAATGAAATTGTACAAAAACAAGCATAATTTAAAAAAAAAATAAAAAAACAAAAACACAAAAACAAAATGGCTATCAAATGGACCCAAAATGGTACAAAATGCTATGCAACTGGTTTCAGTTTTGCCCTTCATATTTTAAAAAATGTCAGTTTTATCTCATTCTTTTAATTATTACAAAAGAAACCATAGGTCTAGCAATTTTTATTATAATTGAGACTTGTAAAAATATTAAGTGCAAATTGAAACCAAATAAATCATACAAAATGCCCCTATCATATGAGCTTGGTCTTTTATATTTTTGTTACACATATCAACAGAAATTGCCAAGAAAAGGTTGGGGTTTCTTAAAAAA